TTGGCTTTTTCCAATCATGGACAACTTTACTTTGTTTGCCTGGAGTGTTGACACAAACAAGTACTGTCAATCTGAGCTTGCAAACCTCCCTCCTATTGGCTTTTGTTAGGTGTTGTGAATGGCACAAAATCAGACAACAAAGTCTGCATATGTTTGGACTTGTGGAAATGCTTTTTCAGTCATAAAAGCAACAAGAGGCAATTCTCCTTTGTACTAAGTACTCCTTATTACTTCTTAGTACTTCCCATTCACTTGGTAGCCAGAGCCAGTGATACATAGGCTCAAGCCAATTTACAGTAGTCAATATTGCAAACCAAACATGGCAGTTTACCTAATCAATATATAAATGTTCTAGATTAAACATTCTACAACAAACAAAGTAATATTTAACATCCATCCACATAAAGGGGAAAGGAAAAAGATTTAATGAGCAAGTCCATGGAGAGTGATGTGGACAAGGAGAGTGTCCTGGGTAGATCTGGACAATCTCCCATGTCTTATAAAGAAGAGGCCTTGATTTGGGCAGAGCCTCCAGTGGCAGGTGCCTGGAGGTAACCATGATTGACAGCAAGACGGGGTTTAGTGAGGCAGCCATGTGCAACTGGTGAAGTCCTGCTCTTTTATCCCCCTGAGTCCTCTGGTGAGGGGTGACAGTAAAGGGTTACAACCTCACCTGATTGGGTACAGTCTGTATTGATTGGGTGAACATCTGGTCCTATCGAGAGGATGCCTTTTGAAAAGCAAGATGGAGTCTTCTTCTAAGATAGAGTCACATATGTCAAGAATGCATGACATAAGAATACATTAGAGTTTCTCTAGGATTATAGCTTAGTAGCAAGGTAGGCTATTTGACCAGCAAGATGAGGCTATTTGATCAGCATTGTAAATATTTTCAGGAATAAACTGTTTTTTAAAAATCAAATATCATCTTAGTTCAAGTCATCCTAGATTCTGAGGTGATCAAAAGATTTTTTTGAGGGAGAGTGTATTCCTGCGGGACAACACTTGCAGGAGAGTGAAGAAAGGAAATTGAGGCCAAGGGAGGAGTTGAGCAGCACAGCTGTTGCAACGAAGACCTCAGCTAATTTCAGAGGAAGATCTGGAGCCAGGAAAGTCCCTCCAAGGTTTTACACCTTGAAGCAAGGAGATGTTGTCCCCTTGGGAAAGGCAGTTCTCTTTGACCAAGGCCAATTTCCAGAGACAGACTTTGCTAAATGTGTCAGCCATCAAAGCTACCAGTAGCAGCTGGGAGAGGAAGACTTGGGTCTTCCCTTGACATCTACGTTCCTACCATAGCACCCATCAAGGATGTTCTCTGTGTAAATTCCTCGACACCATATTCTATGTCTACCTCTTCAAAATACACTTTTTTCACCCTGGATTACCATTTAGCCTTGTAAATTTCTTCAGTCAATCTCCTGAATATTCACAGTTGTTTTCAGCATTTACTTTTACATGAAATGTTCTGGAAGCTTTCATGAGAAAATAGGGTAAATTACTCATCCTAGTTTGCCTGAGACTGTCCCAGTTTGAAAACTGGACCTCATCAGTCCTGTACACACTGGGATGTGGTTCACCCTATGGCAAACCAATCAGTCAAATTTCAACAACTAATCTTTCAACTTATTTCCTATCTTTCTAAATATACCACATTCTTCCTTAATAACTACACTGCCTGGGGTGTGGCTAAGGACAAATATGTTCTCTTCTTCTCACTGTTACACATAGGATGTCTTTCACTCTTTTTGACATTTTCACAGTCAAAACTAAACCTGTGCCATTAAACCTGAAGTCAAAACAAAGTACTCTAATACTAATGAACAGCAGAAGCTGGCGGGCTGAGAAAAACTGATGCCTCAAGTTGGTTCCGTTTGGGTTTGGCTGCTTGATAAAACAAAAATGGGCATTATAAAAATCATTTGTTTTTCAGGGCTTTTTGTGTCTCAGAATTATGGACAATGGCAGACCCCATGCCATTCTTAGATCATTATCATTTTCAGTCTTGTACAACTGGAACTTCATTTGGAGGGGGCATACAAATGAGAAAAAAGGGCCAAGCAAATGACAGTTATGAAGATTATAGATAAACAGAGACTCAAGGGGATAAAGATGCATGCTTATTATTTTTGAATACATAAACAAATCAGAATGTAGATTCCTCTTAATAGGACAGGCTTAACCTCTTTATCTTCTTCAATCTTCTTGCTCTGTGACTATGGTTTGGATTATATGTTTTATCAGAAGATACTTATTTTCAGGTAACTTGTGATAGTAACAGAGCAACCATCATAAATAGTTACAAAGTATGATTGTTTGAATCAGCTGGGTACCATTTCCCTCCACTTCTAAAGCCTATTTGCCTGTGCTGGTGGCCACACCCACTTTAATGAGCATTGGATGAGGGATCTAACATAGCATTCCTAAATCTTGGCATTACTGACACTTGGGAGAACACCATTCTTTGTTGATTGAGGGTGGGCACTGGGCTGGATAGTTCTTTGTGGTGGGGCCTGCCCTGTATATTGTAAGATATTTACCAGAATTCCTGCCCTCTGCCTACTGGATACCATTAGCATCCCCACAATTGCAATAACCAAACCTGTTTCTACATATTACTGACTGTTCCTGGTGGGGTAAAATTACTCCTGGGTGACAACCCATCTAATACTAACTTGAAAAATGTCCTTGGAACGTGGACCTTTAGATTTTCCATTGTGCTATTTCATTCTGTAAGTATAGGCTCATAGTGGCAGTACCACTGTGATAGGCATTGTGACTTAATCCCTTCAGATATGTTCTTTGTCTTCATTTCTCACTGCGGGGTTGGTAAGCACTGAGTATCAAGTATGGGTCAAAGAGATTCCATGCTGACACCTTAAAATCTATTTTCTGTAAATAAAAGGTGAGGACAAAGGGAAAATAATGATCTTTTTACCTTGCAAGGAGAGTCACCCAATTGTTCAAACCCACATCCATGCAATCTAGTGTCTTACCCAATGATGTCATGGTGAATAAACAGAAGGGGCGACCCTGCCCAGTGGTTTTGTCATTCCTGCAGTGGGAGGTTAAGGATCAATGTTGACAGCACACTATTCCATTTCAACAAGAATCTAACATGAAAAGCCATACTGGAAGATTGATTACAGTTTCAAATGCCATCTCTGGGGGGAAAAATAACATTGCTGAGACTCCGATTGAACCTCAGAAATTGTCGCTAGAAGCCTAACTTCAATAAAGCAAAATTCACATTTACAAAAATCTATATGAATAGTATTTTTTTCTCTAATATGATGTTCTCTTGTGAATATTTTTTACCAAGTGGGATTATGCTTCCTATTTCAAAGCATAAACAATAGATTTATACATTAATAAATAGTTCAAGGCATATACTAGTTTTTTGGTCTAAATGTCAACAAGTTAAAAGAAAAGTCTTCAAAAGATTCAAAGCTATCTTCTAGGCTTTCTTCTGAGACCATTTTCTATTCATTTCTAGGACTGTGTATCAGAGGTCAAAAAACTGTTTCTGTAAAAGGTTAGATAGTAAATATTTCCAGCTTTGAGGGGCAAATAGTATCTGTCACAACTACTCAACTCTGATATTGTAGCACAAAAGCAGTAAAGGAGTGGAGGCAGCTGTGTTCTGATACACTTTGTATTACAGACACTGAAATTTGAGTCTTATATAGTTTTCACCTATCCCAAAATAATATCCTTTTTTCAACCATTTAAACATGTAAACATCCAAGAAAACAGGTGTCAGGACAGATTTTTCTTGTGGGACATTGTTTGTGCAAACCCAGCCCAATTCAGAAAACATGTGTTGAGTGTTTGCTGTGGGGAACAAATGAGACGTGGTCTCTGCCCTCTTAATCGACCTTAGAGCTGTGGAAAGGACAACTGCCACAGGAATAAATCAGGAAATAAATGAATCCCTTATGCAAGTAGTAAGAATTGCTATCCAAGAGAAAAGAGGTGCTATGATAGTCGACAGTGAGGGAGCCTGCTTTATATAAGGTAATGATGGAGGGCTTCCTTGAGGCAGTGGTGTGAGTCAAGACCTGAGAATGGGTAGGAGTTAGGCAGAGAATGGAAAGAAGAAAAGTGGGGAGAGAAATCCTCTAGACCAACAGTCCCCAACCTTTTTGGCATGAGGGACTATTTTTGTGGAACATAATTTTTTCCATGGACAGGAAGGGGGTTGGTTTTGGGATGATTCAAGTGTGTCGCATTCATCATGTACTTTATTTCTATTATTATTACATTGTAATATATAATGAAGTAATTATACAACTCACCATAATGTAGAATGAGTGGGAGCCCTATGCTTGTTCTCATGCAACTAGATGATCCCATCTGGAGGTGATGGGAGACAGTGACACATCATAAGGCATTAGATTCTCATAAGGATCTAGATTCTCTAGATCCCTTGCATGTACGGTTCACAATAGTGTTTGTGCTCCTATCAGAGTCTAATGCCACCACTGATCTGACAGGAGGTGGAGCTCAGGCAGTAATGTGAGTGATGGGGAGAGCGGCTGTCAATACAGATGAAGCTTGGCTTACCCACTGTTCACTTCCTGCTCTTCAGTCTGGCTTCTAACAGTCCTGGGGGTTAGGAAACCCTGCTCCAGTAAAGAAAGAGCTCATGAGGCTGGGCACAGTGGCTCACACCTATAATCCCAACACTTTGTCAGGTTGAGGCTCCATTTAGCCTATGAGTTTAAGACTAGCCTGGATAATATAGTGGGAACCTATCTTTACAATAATTATAAAAATTAGCCAGCTGTGGTGGTACACCTGTAGTCCCAGCTACTTGGGAGGCTGACATGGGAGGATTACTTGAGCCTGGGAGGTCGAGGCTGCAGTGAGCCATGATCATGCCACTGTCTGGGCAACAGAGTGAGACCCTAAAAAAAAAAAAAAAAAAGGTCATGTCATTTAAGTATGTCAATATATGATTACTCAGTTTGTGATTATTCATCTTTTGAATGAATTCACAGGAAGAGCCCGATGCCCTTGGTTTGACTCTGCTAAGAGCCCCTGAGTTGCTTAACCTGCATATGGTCATCTCAGTAATTTAAGATCTTCCTGAGGACATTGCTGCAAGATCGTCTTCAACTGTTCATAACGTAAGTATGAGAGGTACATGTGTGTGTATCTTCACCCTGATACTCACATGTTTTACTCACCTGGACCGTGTTGTCTAAGTCAAATAGTGATATGTGGTGACCTTGATAATGGTGTTTGGAACATTCTGATACTGCAGGGATGACATGAATATGGTGCTATTGCAGCTATGTTTCATTTAGAAAGAACTTTCCATCAAAAACTCAAAGGAGAACATCCGTGGGGCAAATATATTTTTATATAGAAAGACTGTGCTGGGCCAGTGGGGGCAGCATGCATAATCTGATGAGCATAAGCAAGTGGCCTGCATGTGGCAAGTCTAGAGGAATATAGGGGTGGGGGTTTATAAATGATTTCACGCATCCCCTGCAACCTTGAGGTGGCTCTAGTTGAATCAGCAAAGGTACAGAACCATGGCACAATGAGAAGGCTCACAGTACACCTGTTCTGATCAGCTGCTGCAATACCTGAGGGACAGAATGGGGTCCCTCCCCACAGTAAGAGCTCTTCCACCTGGTGGAGGTGAGGGCTGAGGGCATACCTAGGCCTCTCCCTGTAGGAGGAGCTACTCCCCCTAGTGGAGGTGAGGACTGAGGGGCAGAGCATGGTCCCTCTTTGCAGGAAGAGCACTTTTCTCTGGTGGAAGGTAAGCATGCAAGGTGAAAGTCTTTGGGGTGGATAAGGAAAAGTTTTAAAAGACCCTGCAAGGGAGAATCCCTGTTATTTTATGCCCATTCTTGGACGTATCTGCACCTCTATGACACTATTCTATCAGGACACCAAGGGGCACAGTACTTGGCCATTCAGAACATTTTATGGTCTCCCATAGCAGCTGGTTCAAATAAATGGGCAGGAAGATGCTTTCAGAGGAGATATTTGGTTAAAATCAGTGTGAAAAGACTCCTAAAGTCAGAAAACCCGGGGCTAGGGATTCCATCCCACCCCATGCTGGCAGTGTGTTCCCAGGAGGCTGTTTCACCTCTGCATGCCTTAGTTTCCTCCTTTGTCAAAAGTGACTAAAGGGGCTGGGCCTGGTGGCTCAGGCCTGTAATCTCAGCACTTTGGAGGCTGAAGCACGAGGATGGCCTGAGGTCAGGAGTTTGGGACCAGCCTGGCCAATATGGTGAAACCGTTTCTACTAAAAATATAAAAATTAGCCTAGTGTCATGCCACGCACCTGTAATGCCAGCTACTCAGAAGGCTGAGGCAGGAACCTCACTTGAACCAGAGAAGTAGAGGTTGCAGAGAGCCGAGATCGTGCCCCTGCACTCCAGCCTGGGCTACAGAGCAAGACTCCATCTCAAAAAAAAAAAAAAAAAAAAAAAAAAGACGGGGTTGGGGGATCAAATATGAAATGTAGTTTCATAGGATGCTTGTAAAAAGTAAGAGACAACCTCTGTTTTGGGAAAATGTGGTGAAGACCTGGATGATCCTGCCAGCCAGGGCAGTGGGAGCTGAGAGCAGGCTTGCAGGGTGATGTAATGATTTTCAGAAGGCAGCTTCAGACTAAGGGGTTACAGATGGTAGTAGTTCTGTATCAGGGTAGACTTTGCCGTTCAGAGAGATTTGGGTAAATTTTGGAGTCATTTCTGGTCGTGAAAACTAACTTAGGAGTGGGGTGCATATACTAGGTGGAGGCCAGAGATGCTGCTAATCATCCCATGGTGTGTCCCACAGCTCCTCACAAATCTGAAATGTCAGTGGTGCTGAGGGCGACAAACTGCTGGCTGCAACAAGAGGCTTTAACTTAATCTTCTCTTTCTTTCTTCCTAGAATAGTCAATGGTCTTTTACTTTGAGGTATATGAATCAGAGTAAGAATTAAAGAGAACAAAAAGACAATGACCTTTTAGGATTTTTTTTTTTCTATTACATTTAAACCCCATAACAGAGGATTCTGCATCTGGAAGCAACATCCATGGAGGCTTAAAACCGCAGCTTATATTCATTCCTAATGCTGAGCAGCTTAACAGATTTCTTTTCCATTGTGATTTCTGTAATTTGTTCTTTAAAAGGATTGTGTGTTCCTTTTTTCTGTTTCAGAAACAAAGTTTTTGGGCATTTTAAAGAATAATTTATTTTCTAAAGTCATTGATAATACATGAACTGGGTTGAATTTCTGACCTTGCCTTCAAAGTCTTTAGCACCGGCTAAGTAGGGTTTTATTTTTTTATTCCTCTGGAAACTGTACATTTTTCAGGGAAATGCTTTAAGTACTTTTTTTTTTCGGTCATTTTAGTCTACAGGAGAGAATGATATTCTCTAGACCCAGCTAGAAGGGCTCTGAAAAAATTGACAGACACAGTAGCTAATTAAAAATATGTAGCTGAAAGGGTTCATGCTTAATTCATGATAAACGAATACAACATTCATTATCCTTTCTTAATGTTCTGAGGTAAAATGCGAGTGTTGCAGTGGGGGTTAAAATATTTGTTCCTAAATATCTAATAGCAGTGTCCATTCTGTCTTACTAGCATGAAGCCAAACTCATAGAGTTATTTTAATGTGCTTCACAATTCAGAATTCAGGGTTCTTGTATACAGAAGAACTCTCCCTCTCCCCTAAATGGATGAACCCTTTGGGGACTGTCTGGAAAACACTTACATTGTCTGTAGTTTTCCTGATTTGTTCCTCCCTCCAAAGCAAAGGTTTAGTCATAGGAAAATATAATTTTATTATGAAATTGAAAAAAGGAATTTCCTTTGTATGGCATGCCATTTTATTTGAAGGAGCCTATCAGAAGTCTCTTGGCTTAATTTTGCATAAGCATATACCAGAATAGTAATTCGTTTTTAATCCTTTGATGGTGATGAAGAAGTCTTTCAAGTGGACTGTGATGCTTAATAAGTCTATGCTAGGGTAACGAATATGGATGATAAGAAGCACATTTTAGCATCAAGTTATTAATCTCAACCACAAAAATTGTTACTGTTGTGTGTTTCAGAAAAAAATAAAGGAGAAAAAGTTAAGAGGGGAGGGGGAAAAGTTAAATGGGGAGGGGAGATGGAGCAATTTGAAACTTACAGCCAGGTATTGATTGATTACAGAGTTCCTGGAATCGTATATGATGATGAAAAAAACAAAAACTCTGCCAAAATATCTAAAGTAGTTTATTCTGAACTAATATGAGTAACTGTGACCTGGGGAAACAGTCTCAAGACGTCTTGAGAGAGTGCACCCTGTGTGGTTGGGTTACAGAATTTCAGGTAAAATTGGTCCAACCTAAAAATGAGGGCTATCTCGAAACAGAGGCTTACAAATCATAGGTCGGTTTAGGAATTCTTCGGCTGACAATTGATTGAAAGAGTTAAGTTTTATCTAACGACTTGGAGTCAGTGGAAAGGAATGCTTTAAATAAGGAGGCCCACTACCTGTTACGTGATGCCATACTAGAGTCAGCTTGTAAAGGAAGCCACGTTATACCACATTAATTTTTTTTAAAGCCACATTTAATGAGATTTCATGATTTGCAAAGTATGACTCCCTTGACCCCTTAGGTATTTGAGTAAGAAAAGAAGGTCAGAGTTCAGTCCTCATGTACCCCTTGATATGAGCCTGTAAGGATGCACCAATACCTGTCTAGTGCCCCTGCCAAAATTGTTCAACCTGAACCCGACTGCAGGAAAACCTCAGATCAATGCATAATGTAGCAGATTGATTTAAGACCACTTACCTGGATTCTTCCAAAAAGTCAATGTCATAAATAACAAAGAAACGTTGGAGGACTATTCCAGGTTTTGAAAGGCTAAGAAATATAACAACATATCTGAACCTTGAACGGATCCTGGACTGGAAGAAAGAACCAGTTGGTACAGGATCTCACTCTGTTGCCCAGGTTGGAGTGCAGTAGTGCAATCTCAGCTCACTGCAATTTCCACGTCCTGGGCACAGGTGATCCTCCCACCTCAGCTCTCCGAGTAGCTGGGATAACATGTGCACACTACCACACTTGGCTAATTTTTTGTATTTTTGTTAGAGACAAGGTTTTGCCATGTTGCCCAGGATAGTCTCGAACTCCTGAGCAAAAGTGATCGGCCTGCCTTGGCCTCCCAAAGTACTGGGATTACAGGCATAAGCCACCGCACCTGACCAGTTTTTGAATTTTCTACAGAAACAATTCCTAAGAGTGTACTCTTGCTTATCTGAATCAGGGGTACCTGTTCTTCTCATGATGTGTGTCAGATTCTGGTCCCATTTGTGGTGGGATTGCCACTCTATGGGGATTGTGCTTGGCTACCCTTTATTACTGTGACTTTTTTTTTTTTTTTTGAGATACATTCTCACTCTGTCACCCAGGCTGGAGTGCAGTGGCATGATCTCGGCTCACTGCAACCTCTGCCTCCTGGGTTCAAGCAATTCTCAAGTCTCAGTCTCCCAAGTGCCTGGGATTACAGGCCCATGCCACCTTGCCCAGCTAATTTTTGTATTTTTAGTAGAGACTGGGGTCTCAACATGTTGGCCAGGCTGTTCTGAAGCTTGTGGCCTCAAGTGATTCACCTGCCTCGGACTCCCACACTGCTGAGTTTACAAGTGTGAGCCACCACACCCAGCCCACTATTACTCTTAAGATGATAAATCGATTGTAACTCCATGGGCTCTTCTTGCCCATTTCCCAGAAGAGCCAGTGCATTGAGAGCAGCAGGTGTTATGGCAAAGAAAGTTTAATAATTGCAGTACCAGCCAAGTGGAAGGATGGGGGGTATTTTTGAAGTCCACTTCTTCAAGAATGTGCAGGCAGAGATTTTTAAGGACAGTTTGGTGGGCAACAGGCTGGAGAATGGGAAAGGCTGATTGGCACCATCAGTGAAGAAATCACGGAGGTATCAAAACTGTCTTTGTGTACCTGGTCAGTTGCTGTGTGGGGGTTACTGGTCCGGGTGGCATCACCCATTCCACCAGAATGCAAAATCTGAAAAATATCTTACGTACAAGTCTTAGGTTTCACAATAGTGATATTATCTATATGGGCAATTAGGGAAATTACACATCTTGTGACCACCAGC